CTAGACTCATGCATATCAACAATGTACAAAATATCAAAATCAACAAAATCCAAGTTGTAGAAGAATAACCATCACTAATACCAAAGAGTTGCACTTTCTAATAATGTCAATAATAGAGGCCAAATGTGCCACAATAAGTACTTGAGTTAATCAGGGACAATTCAAAGTACTTATAGAAATAGAACAAAAATCTTATGTCTTGTATACCATAGAGTACTGAAAGTTGTTTAAAAATATTTGCAAATAAATACAATAGGATCCATGCATAGAGAAGACTATAATCCAATTGATGTCAACATTGAAAAAAATGCAATAGAAAATATATTTAATAATATTACATTTATAAAAAAACATACTCAATTATTCAAATTAAATCTCAAGATACTAATGTATTCAAAACACAAGGTACAATCTAAATTATTATTAGAAGTGGTCGTAGACCTACATGCTACAACCATAGATTTTAATGCCAAAGTTATAAAGCTTCATATTAGGAAGCATCAATTAACTAACATACTTGTAGATAGAAGATCTGGTATTAACATCATAGCAAATAACATTCACAAGTTCTTAGAGCTTCTTTAATCCAAATTTATATCATTTGTACTTTGTATGAAAAATAATGCTTGAATTAAGCTCTTTGGAATATTACAAAATATAATTATTATCACCTAAGATATCCATGCATCCATTATCTTTTTAATAATTGAGATACATGTCAAGTATTACTTTTTAGTCATCTTGGAGAGACTATGGTTATAAGACATGAATGCATCTAACAATTGGTTTAACAATAAAATCACCATTCACCACTAATATCAACATGCATATATTTGTGTTGACAGCTATATCACTTGAAAAAAAGCCTCAACCACTTAAAAAATCATGAGCAATAATTAGATCTCTATACTAAGCTCAAATAAAGAAGAGCTTGTAAACAAGCTCAAACTACATTTGATTCCTCTCAAAAAAGTAAACCTCATAGTTGTAAAAAACAATGAATAATTGGACATACTTGTGAAATTTACTATTGAGCTTTAAGACTGATCCATCATCAATGAATAACTACCATATATTAAACTAGAAGAACATAAAATTAAGAGATGGCCTTACAATTTTTTAAAAAAAATAGAACTTGTCAATCTTAAGATACTTTGAAAATTTAAAAATATTAAAATAAATATTCATGCATCCAACAATATAAAAATTTTCACAATTACATTATTTTGTGAATATTTAGATGTATTTGCATAGTTACACAATGATTTAAGAAAAATATCTACAAAGATAGTCGAGCATCAAATCAACCTTGTTTTGAATACTACTCCAATTTAATAAAAGTAATATCAAATGAATTTCAATTAAACATAAATTATGAAGCAAGAGCTAGATAAACTTCTATAAGCCAAATTTATCTCACTTATAGATTTTACCCTATAATTGTCATCTATAGTAATTATTCTAAAACAAATCCAGAACTTTATTAATTTGCATGGAATTTTATCAATTAAACGATGCTACAAACAAAAAAAAAAAAAAAAAAAAAAAAACCATTATTCTCTTTTGTATATAAAAAAACATCATTGATAAGATTTTAGGTTATAAAGTGTATAGCTTCATTGACTACTTCTTGGGATATTACCAAGCAGCCATGGCACTAGAGGTTAAAACAAAATGGCCTTTTTTTTTATAAAATAGAGACTATTTTAGTTTGAATGAATGCTATTTGGTGTGAAAAATGCATCAATGACATTCCAGCACATTATGGAATTTGCATTTAAACCATACCTTTAGAAATTCTTTTGAATATACCTAGATAATAAAACCATCTATGGACCCAAAAACAAACACATCCAATATCTATAATAATTTTTTTGAAGTTTATTGAAAGTATGGCATTAGCTTCAACATGAGTAAATGTATGTTTTTATTCTTCTTCAAGCTCATATTTGGATATATTGTATATCATTTGGGCAAGTTTTTGGATCCCAAGAAAATCAAACAAATATAAAACATGCCTGTACTTTGCAATTAAAAGGTTATTCAAATTATTCTCAGAATTGCTCAATTCAATATGACATTATCATGTAGTAATACGACTACATGGTAAAAAATAGAAATAAAGATGTTATTATAGAAGAACCTAGTAAAAATATGTAGTAGAAAAATAAGGATAAATAATAAGAAGGTAATAAAAAATTTGGTCTAAATGCTACTTTTTTATAGAAGAGATTTTTATTTACTTTATAGAGGCATAAATAAGCCAAATCAAAATAAATGAGATAAGAAAATAATATAGACATATTTAGGAGAGAATTAAAAATAAATTAAAGTAAAAATTATTTCAAATTAATAAGAATTAATATCCAAAAATAATTAATTATAAATCAAGTTCAAAATCAGATTCCAAGTCACAAAACTATACACCTACAACAACTTTGGAATTCTTATTGCAAATTAAAAATAAATAAAAATAAAATTAGAATTTAAAAGAGATTTTTGAGAGTTGGTTTTAAGTCATTTGGATTAGTATTGAGGTTTTGAGGGATTTTTAAAATTAAATGATGTACTTAGTGGATTTAGATTTTGAGAAATAAAATAAGTTTATAAGTTTGAAAATTTTGTAAATTTCGTGGCATATTAATACATGAAAATTTGAAAGTTTGTTCTTGTGCTTATTACAAATGTGTGTGAAAGAGTTGAGATCAATTGAATAATTAGGTTGAAGAAAATGAAAGTTTTTATGGATTGTGGTTTTGAAACTTGGGATTTAGAGGACTAATGAATATTTTTAAGATATATGTCAATTTGCTAGTTGGATTGACATAATTTTTTTTTAATAATAGCCAGCTTGAATTTTAATAAATATTCAAAGTTTGGAACCAATTTAATAGTGAAATTAAGAGATTGTGACTTAAGAATATCAATATCAAGGTTAAAGAAGGAGACAGGCTAACACTTGAGCAAAGTTTAGGAATTATCATCTATTTGGTATGTGCAAACTTTTTCAACTTTTTGTGCTTATTGCTAACTTAATTTAAGAAAAATTTACAAATTTTGAATCAAAATCAATAGTTCAATCATTAATTATTAAAGTTTGAATTTGATGTAGGATTTGTTTAAGATTTAGGGTGTGGTTAGATTTTACTTAGGATTGATTTAAGATTTAGGATTTGATTAGATTTTGCTTAAAATTAGTTTAGGATTTGATTAGAATTTAAGCTTTTATTAGGATTTTATTAGGATTTGACTTAAGATTTGATTAAGATTCATTAAGATTTCAATTAGGATTTAATTAAGATTTAATTAAGATTCATTAGGATTTCAATTAGAATTTAATAATGATTTGATCAAGGCTCATTAGAATTTTAATTAGGATTTTTATTAGAATTTAATTAGGGCTTAATATAAAATTTGATTAAGATTCATAAGAGTTTTAATTAAGATTAAATTAGGATTGAATTAGGATTTATTTTGAATTTATTTTAAAAAATTAGTTTCAATATTTCTTCAAGTTTTTTGTTATTTTTTTTAAGTTTATATTTATAGTATTTCTTTAAAATTATTATTATTTCTTTAAAATTTTAATTTTATATTTTTTTCAAATTTTTTTATTACTTTTCTTTGAGATTAATTTATGACTTCTTTGTATTTTTTTGTATGAAGCAAAATAAATCTCTACTAATTGAAAATCTATTCTAATTTATAACTATTAATAGCTTCCAATGTAATTATTTAAATTATCTTCTACCTTATTTTGGATAAATTATTTGAATTCATCCAAATTAATTTATCCAAAATTTAATCTAACATTAATTGTGATTACTTGCCTTAAATTGTATTTAATTTAACTTGGTTGCCTACACCCCCTAGCCCTCAAAAGGTCTCATAGAGTACTAAAGAATCAGTGATGAATCTGTTGAATAATGAAGTGTGCCTTCTCTTCTTGCTCATCTTCAAAACTTCACTCCAATCTCAACACTTACAGTCAAACTATCTAAGTTGTATGGTGTCTCTATTATGGCTTTGTAGATGTTATAGACTTTTGGAAGGAATTACTAAAGTTATATGGTGCATTCAAAACACCCATAGATTTATTCCATGTTTAAAAAGAACCTAAAAATAATGTTAAAGAAGATGCTATCTATCTAATTGATTCCAATTTACAATTAATATGTTATATTTGCTCAAGTAATATATATTTATTTTGTAACACTTTTAAGATTTGCCTTGCAATGTTACAAGTGATGATAATTATGATCTTACAATTGATATGTAGATGCTACCAATCTAGAATCTTCTTGTATCAAAAATTTCCATAAGAAAACACAATTTTTTCAAAGATCTAATATTTTTAATATATACATAACAACTTGTTGTTACTAAGTACTTTATCTTATGGAGATTCTTAATTTCACATCATTGCCATTATATGGGATATTTTTTAGTATATAAAGTGTTGTTGAACCATAATTTTTTTATATTATTTTTGTTACTTTTTGTCTTTTATTATAAACATGTTCTATATCCAATTCAATATTCTTTTTTTAAAAAAAAGATCAAAAACTAATAAAATAGAATAGGATGTGAGAGTATAAACTAAGCATCAATTATTCTTGAATAAATAAATAGTATTATTAATAACAAAAAAATCTTTTACAAAATCTTCCATCAGCAAGTAAAAATATTTTTATTATTATAAATTATAATATTGTTACTGTTGATTTGAAGAAACAAGATTTGATTGAATTTAAAGTGATGGATTTACCTATTTATTTAATGTAGGTATATACACACTTGGAACAACTTTTTTCTTTTTTTAATTAGAAAGAGAGACAAAAGGAATGGAATTTAACTGTAAAAACATGATGACAGTTGATCACAAGTATTGGAATCTATCCGAGGTATCTAACCAACATAAAATAAAATAAAATAAAAGTGGTAAAACAAAAAGAGTATTTTTTGAAAAAAAACATACACATACACACACGCACAGTTTCTATGAAAGAGTTGTGGCTATGGTTTTTGATGCATTGCAAGGAACGTGTAAGGAAGTACAAACATAATATCCAACCTTGGACTGAAAGAAACAAAACAAACTTGAAGTAGTTGAAGTAGTTGAAGTAGTCAGTAAACTAAAGTGTAATGTAGGAATGAACATGGAGAAACAGTCCATGAAGTAGTTAGTAAACTAAAGTGTAATGCAGGAATGAATATGGAGAAACAGTCCATGAAGGTGAGGGTTGCAAGCTTGGTTAGTTGTGAGGATGAAAGGTGAGAGATTAGGGCATTTACAACAGATTGGAGCAAGACGCTTGATTCTTTTCCATTTCTTGTTTTCGCTCGCTCGCTCGCTCGCTCGCTGTTTGTTTGTTTGTTTGTTTGTTGTAGTACTGTGGGGTTTTGAGTCTTGACGGCGTGGGAGAGTGGTGGTTGATTTTTCAAAATTGAGTAAGTTGGGGACGGTGAGGACATGGTGATTCCCGCACGCTGTGTACCCTAAAGCAGAGAACCACATCAGTGGCAACGTCAGTAAGCAGTTTGCACAGGCCCAGAGTGCAACACATTCAATGTAGGTCGGTGATGAACGAAAGAAAGAAAGCAAGCAAGGAGAGACGCACGCACGCCATGGTTGGGGATGTTGCGCCACTTCAGTAGGGGAGGGAGAGGTGGGTCACTGTACCGCGTAGGTGGTGATCCAGATGACTCGGGAGTTCTTCTGAATCACATTCTGTGAGAGCATGAGGGTGCACAGGGACTTCTTCGCAGCCCGGCCACAGACGACGCGATACCTGCTTCCCTGCACAGTTGTGCGGGTACGTGACGTGGAAACGAGGGTCCGTAGCCCTCAACGGGCGATGTTGTTGTGGTGGCTGATTTACCGAGCACGGCGGCTGCGTTGTGGTGCATTGGGCGCAAAGAGCTCCGAACGCGAGCAGGCTAGGAGCAAAACCCCGGGAATCAAAGAGGATAAACTAATGGTGTTTGCGAGAATCCAACGAGGCGGCGAGTTGGCGCGCAGCGTGAGAAGAAAAAAATAAGTAGCCTTGAAGTCGTTTGAACACAACAGCCTGGGATCCGTGGCGCAATGGTAGCGCGTCTGACTCCAGATCAGAAGGTTGCGTGTTCGATTCACGTCGGGTTCAGACTCCCGAAATTATAACCCTCACCCGGGACATCCCTTCCACAGACCGTGTGGCCCAATGGATAAGGCGCTTGCCTACGGAGCAAGAGATTCTGGGTTCGATCCCCAGCATGGTCGATTCCTCCTGTCGGAGGGGTTAGTCAATTTGGCCGAGTGGTTAAGGCGGCAGACTCGAAATCTGCTGGGGTTTCCCCGCGCAGGTTCAAATCCTGCAGTTGACGAATCCTTTTGATAAAATTTGATCTCTCTTTCAAAAATAGGTATGTTTCCAAAAATAGTTATGTTTTTCATGAATGTTGTGATTCTGCCTTCCAACCAACTATCATAAACTCCATACCATGTTCACAACAACACCCAAACAATCATCAAAGTTACTCAACTATATAACGGACTATTATGTTGTTCTTATTTGTGATAATAACCACATCTTACTCAACTTCTAAAGAACAGTCATATCTTAGAGGAGAGTCACAAGTAGGTTAGATGGGTTACAATTGCTTTAGTGGGTGCCACTTGTATAGTAGTAAGTTTTCAAATGCAAGGGTTGGAATAACATTTACTAGAGTTAAGAGAAGCAAGTTCAACTATGACTAGAAAGACTATTGAATAGACATGTTTAAGTAAGTAAAAACTTAAACTATAGTTGCCAATTATTAGTTCTTGGATTTGAACCAATTTAATATTCGACATGTTTCTTGATTCAAAACTAATGCAAATCCAGGGACTTTTGAGTCTTTGATTTGGATAGAAAATAATTTAAAAAATAGTATGACTACACAAAACACTCTTTTCTTTATAATCAATCACATCTCCTTATTTGCTTCTCCATTAATCTCTTCTTTGTATAATTTCCCACCTTCTTATTGAATGGAATGACCAAACCTTGAACATGCCTCAAGTTTTCTTTTATTAATTCATTAAAGTTCACATAGTGAATATCCTTTGAAGGTACACAAGTATCAAGTGTCTCTCACATCCTTGCAATTCTTATAAAAAATTATCTCAATTTGTTTCATGATCTTATTTCACACCTTCTCTTGAGGTTGGATCCTTGCTTTTTCTTTGTAGTAGCTATTTATATCTTCAACAAACTCCTTAGGCACAATTACATAAAACATTAGATGCTACTATTTCTTTAGTATGTCCAAAACATACACATGCTTGTGCAATACTTTTTCAATACTATAAGGTCCTTCTTTCTTTTGGATATTTTTTGAGATATTTTTTAATGAAAAAAATAGCTAAAGTACTCAAAAGATACAAGAATAATTATTCTAATGGTATTCATGCTTTATTATTTAGAATGTGTTGCCAATTTACTTATAATTATTTAAAAGTTATTTTAACCTATTTTGGCACCACCTTTAAGAAAAAAGATAAAAATATTAAACTCACATGAGAAGGATGAAGAAATTTTATAAGATCATTTGACAAATGAGATCCAAATAAAGTAAGAGCTAGTTTCAAGGCCTTGGAGAGGATTTTTAAGGTTCATAAAAAATCAACTTTTTTTTCTACTGCATTTATAAGATTCTTAATTGGCTCCCATGTGCGTTCACAAATATCATATTTGCTTCAATGAATAAGTTATTTTAACCTATTTTGGCACCACCTTGAGTCTAAGACTTCTTCAACTTCAAACTCTTCATTATTATCTACTTCTATAAGATGAGGTGGTACTTATTGTCTTCTTGGTATATCAATTGTCTTGTATGGCTCAAGAAGAGACACATGGAATACTAGATGAATCTTCATTGATTCCAATAGGTATAATCAATAAGCAATTAGATTGATTTGTTCACAAATAAGAAAAGATCCAAGCCTACAATAATCCAACCTGTCACAAAGATGAATAATCTTGATATTCCAATGAAAGAACCATACTTTGTCACCTACATTTGAATTGTGGTTTTTTCTTATAATAGCCATCCACATTGATCTTTTGTTGTTCTTGAGCTTCTTTTAACAAACCTTTATTATTGCATGTAACTCTGCCAAATGATTTGCCAAATCTTTTGCTATTAGATTATTAACTTTTAAACAATCAAAAGTAATAAGTCATAGATGATAATTATAAATAGTAAAAAAAAGAAATTTATTGAATAGTAAAATGTATCAAATTATTATGTGTAAACTTTGCTAATAGCAAAAGAGTTTTCTAATCATCATAATGATAGTTAATGACACACCTCAAATATTGTTCTAGAATTTGATTCACATATTTTGTTTGTCTATAAGTTTGTGGATGAAAGGCTGAAGATAATTTTATATCCACCTTCAATATCTTAAAAAAGATTTTTTTAAATATTGATACAAATTATATCCCTCTATTTGATATAATATTTTTTGACAATCCATAATAATGAAAGATGTTAAATAAAAACTTAGCTATTTTTTCACATGAAATATATTTTGTACATGATACAAAATATGCTATTTTGGTGAAATGATCTACTATCATGAATATAGAGTCATATAAACTTGAATTTTGAAGATTTGTAATAAAATCCATAGAAATAAAAGACCATCGTTGTTCTTGTATAAGCAATAGTTGAAAAAGTCAATAAGATGGATGAAAAGAAATTTTTGATATTAAAAAAATATCAAATGATTGTGTAAAGACTTTTAAAGCCTTTAATATTTATACCTACCAAAAATCTTATGATATTGACTCCAAAGTCTTGTTATATCCAAAATATCTTGCCGCTAAAAATTCATGGCAAGCTTAAAGAACATGTGAACATACTTCTTTTTTTAGAACATATAGTCAATTTTTAAAATAAAATAAATTTTTTCTTAAAGGTGGTGCCAAAATAGGTTAAAATAACTTTTAAATAATTATAAGTAAATTGGCAACACATTCTAAATAATAAAGCATGAATACCATTAGAATAATTATTCTTGTATCTTTTGAGTACTTTAGCTATTTTTTTCATTAAAAAATATCTCAAAAAATATCCAAAAGAAAGAAGGACCTTATAGTATTGAAAAAGTATTGCACAAGCATGTGTATGTTTTGGACATACTAAAGAAATAGTAGCATCTAATGTTTTATGTAATTGTGCCTAAGGAGTTTGTTGAAGATATAAATAGCTACTACAAAGAAAAAGCAAGGATCCAACCTCAAGAGAAGGTGTGAAATAAGATCATGAAACAAATTGAGATAATTTTTTATAAGAATTGCAAGGATGTGAGAGACACTTGATACTTGTGTACCTTCAAAGGATATTCACTATGTGAACTTTAATGAATTAATAAAAGAAAACTTGAGGCATGTTCAAGGTTTGGTCATTCCATTCAATAAGAAGGTGGGAAATTATACAAAGAAGAGATTAATGGAGAAGCAAATAAGGAGATGTGATTGATTATAAAGAAAAGAGTGTTTTGTGTAGTCATACTATTTTTTAAATTATTTTCTATCCAAATCAAAGACTCAAAAGTCCCTGGATTTGCATTAGTTTTGAATCAAGAAACATGTCGAATATTAAATTGGTTCAAATCCAAGAACTAATAATTGGCAACTATAGTTTAAGTTTTTACTTACTTAAACATGTCTATTCAATAGTCTTTCTAGTCATAGTTGAACTTGCTTCTCTTAACTCTAGTAAATGTTATTCCAACCCTTGCATTTGAAAACTTACTACTATACAAGTGGCACCCACTAAAGCAATTGTAACCCATCTAACCTACTTGTGACTCTCCTCTAAGATATGACTGTTCTTTAGAAGTTGAGTAAGATGTGGTTATTATCACAAATAAGAACAACATAATAGTCCGTTATATAGTTGAGTAACTTTGATGATTGTTTGGGTGTTGTTGTGAACATGGTATGGAGTTTATGATAGTTGGTTGGAAGGCAGAATCACAACATTCATGAAAAACATAACTATTTTTGGAAACATACCTATTTTGAAAGAGAGATCAAATTTATCAAAAG